TTTTTTTTTTTGTTTGAGTTAATAGATTTATTTGAGTTAGAAATAATAGAAAACATATGATAAGTTTATATTTTATTGAAGTAATAAATAAACAAAGAAGTAAATAAGCAAATTAATAAACAAATGAATAATTGAATATTTAAATAATTAAATATTTAAATTTCACGAAAATATTTCTTTTTTTTCTTTAATATTTCGTAGCAATTATAGATGGTTCAAAAAAATAAATCATATGCATATATTTTTTATCATATTTACGATTGTATTATTAGTGGAATCAATTGGTGCTACATATATCATTTCTACAACTCAAGCAATTGAACGACAATTTCAAGTACCATCAAAATTATCCGGTTTTATGGTTAGCGCTAGTAAGTTCCTTAATTTCATCATTTTAAAATGCTATCTGATGAATAAAAATTTAGCAAATAGCTTACTTATTATACATATATACTTAATTAACTTAAATAACGTTAAATTCATTAAATATACATATCTTTTAGCATTTTTTCAACCTCTTCAAATGCAACTTTTACCAATACATCTTGTGGAAAATTACATTTATTAAATTATTAAAAGAAAAAAAAAGAGTCATTTGAATGGTGTTTGGAAGACGAAGAGAAAAATGACAATAAATAAAAGGTCAAAGTTTAACAGGTTATGATTAAATGCTATTACAATTTATGCGATGAAATGTATGCATACATAAATTGTTGGAAACATTTTATTAGCAGTGAAGAAAGAAGGAAATTTACCATTTGAAAATTGTTATTTCTAAATGGGAAAATGCTAAAATTTAAAAAAAAAGAAATGTTGAAGAAAATTAAATTAATGAAAGGGAAAAAAGAGAAACATAAAAAGTAATGAAATGGTTCAGAAGATTTAATAGATGGTTTAAAATTTGAAAATTTAAAAAGTAATTAATGAATGATTTGGAAAAACAATGATTATATGAAATTACAAATGATTTATAACATTTCAATCGCTGTAATCATATTTTGCATCGAGAAGTAATTCATACTTCTTGCTAAATTAGCTACAAATAGACGAACTTAATTAGGTTGATTATGTGAGTAAACTAATTTAAATATTCATATGCCAAACATCAGTATCCTAAGTTTTCACGTCAACTTTACGTGATATGCATGTATGCTTTTGCATAATTAGCACGTTTTAACACAATACAAACTCCATTTCCTTGAATTAAAAAAGTTTTTATAACTTGCGTTGTAATTATAAATAATTAAATTTAATTTAAATAAAACAGACTATGTCATATGTCATTTGTAATTAATACTTTTATTAACAAATATTTCTTTGTTACAGGTGATTTTGTATACATTCCTACGGTTATCTTCATATCATATTTTGGTTCTAAAGGGAATCGAATTAAATGGATTGGTATTGGCACTTTGATGACAGCAATTTCACATTTACTCATTTCTTCATCCAATTTTTTATTTCCAATTGAACAACAAATTCTCAACTATACATCTCTTCAAGTATATATTTTCTTCTGCAAATTTTACATATTAATTAAACGTCAAAGAATAGGAATGGAAATATTTGCATTGAAATTAAATTCTTAGTTAATTTTAAATTCTTAATTAATTTCAGAAACGTTTATTTCCATCTGAGGAGCTTTTGATGTCGAATGCTAAATTTACGCAACTCTTTGATTATGAACTTATAAAAGATCGTATAAATGAAAGTGTAAGAGATGATTTCCTGAAGAAATTACTATCATTGAATGATCATTCATTTCATATGATACCATCATGGGAATTAGAATATAACAATGAAATGTTAACTATCAATGATAATTACACGTTAAATGAACCATTACTATCCAAGGTAATCAATCAATAAATTTTGTGATAATGATTGAATGATATCAAATGTTATGTATTAATTTATCATTTTACCGATAAATGCTGAGTATGTCAAAGGTTAAATTAATTAAAGATGAAATTTTAGATTGTTCGAAAGATTCATACGGTAATTGATTACAATACAAGTAGTAATGATATTAATGAAGTGAAGAGTTTGTTGCAAAAATATGTCGCTGAAAGAGCTAATAAAACATTGGATGATTTGGATAAAATACAAAATAGTATTCGAGCACCATTCGCTTACTGTTCCAAATTTATCAATGAAATACGACAAATTATTAGGGTAGAAAATTATTTCATCTTTTTGATATTTCTTATATAAATAGAAGAATTGATTAAAAAATTGATTTGTTATCTAAAAAATTCTATGATTATTATCTAAATGATAGTAATGATAATATATTAGATATATCGGATATTAACTGTAAATGATGAGCAACTTTTCCCTCTCTCTCTCTCTCTCTCTCTCCTCTCTCTCTTCTTA